TGTTTTGTTCTGACCTGTGGTTCTACCAGCTGATTGTTTCCTAAGGATCTCAGAGCCCTGTTGGGTGTTTATCCAGGAATGAGTTCTGACATGTAATTTTGTCCCATGCCATTGAGTGGTTCATAAACTAGTAGGAGCATTTTCAAATCTATTCTGTAGTTTACTGGTAGCCAGTGTAGGGATCTAAGAACAGGAGTGATGTGCTCCGTTCTCTTAGTTCTTGTTAAGACTAGCAGCAGCATTCTGAACAAGCTGCAGCTGGTTCACAGCTTTTTTTTGGAAAGACCAGTTAGGAGACCATTGGAGTAGTCCAGGCGACTAGAAATAAAAGCATGAATAAGTTTCTCTAAGTCTGGTCTGGACATGAGACCTCTGGCTCTTTGATGAAGGTGATAAAACGCTGATTTAGTTATAACCTTAATAGGTCCAGAGGAGCTCCGGTCGGAGTCAATAATTACACCTAGATTTATAATCTGGGTTTTTGTCTTTATTCCCCTGGAGTCCAGCTGAGCAATAACATCCATTCTATTCTTCTAGCTGCCAAAGACAATAACTTCAGTCTTGTCTTTGTTTAGTTGAAGGAAGTTTGACTGCATCCAGTCATTTATTTGCTCTAGGCACTGACAGAGTGAGTCCAGTGGCCGACAGTCACTAGGTGATAAGGCTAGTTAGATCTGGGTGTGATCAGCATGGCTATGATAGGTGATGTTGTTATTAAGTATGACCTGACCCAGGGGGAGCATATAGAGATTAACTCATTCACTGCCATTGACGACTAAAGTCGTCATTAGCATTTTTTACTGTTTGAGCATCGGAATGAGCCCCCGCGCTGAGAGAAAAAAAAGTCTCAGCCCTGAAGCTGATCTTCATCCGCATACGTCACAGATCACATAATCAGGAAGCAACACATCCATGTGTTTGGAGATCGTTTTGGGCCGTTCCTGTAAAAAAAGTGAGGCGCGAACCGGAAAAGCGTCTGCCGATCACAATTCGACAATGGATTATGAAAGAACGGATAACGCTCGAAACACGCGGCTTCTTCCTGATGTAAGAGGTGAGTCTCCTCTTTGTTTTGGTTGTTTTGGCATCGACATCATGCTAGCGCACAACGTTCTGTGACTCTTTAAAAAACAGTAAAAACGGTGAGAAATGCTGGTAGCGAAGGCCGTTAGTGATCAGGAAACGGCTGGCAGTGAATGAGTTAAAGCGTAGTGGTCCTAGAATTGAGCCTTGGGGGACCCCACGTGTCGTGGTGATCCTCCTTGATTGGTAGTCCCTAATAGAGGCAACATAGCCTCTGACTTTGAGATAGGATTGGAACCAGTCAAGCACTGTGCCTGATAGTCCCACCCAGTTTGTGAGTCTGTCCTGAATGATGTTATGGTCTACAGTATTAAAAGCTGCACTGAGGTCAAGCATCATCAGGACAGATGCTTTACCTGAATCAGTGTTGAGATGACTGCCGTTTAATACCTTGATCAGTAGATCACATTTTATACAAACTAACCAATTAGACATTTAAAACTACTATTTTGTTTTCAATGATTTATGAGGATTACATAATAGGATCAGCTGAGCTTATCTATTGAATTAAAAACAGGGAAAAGGAGGCGATGCGTTTTGAACACAAGCAGAAACAGAATCAGACAACTATTAAAAAGAAAGAATAATTTAAATAAATGAAAACAGCATCATTTTATGGATTTCTGTGCACATCCTTTAGCCTTAGTAGAAGTTAAAAAGCCTAAAGTGATAAAGTCTAGTCTCATTAAACAGGCCCAACAGCTAGAACCCACACAGATCAACACACAGGTAGCACAGCCTCACTTCAGCACCCTCTTACAGGCACAGTCTTGCTTGGCTAAGCACTTGCCTGCAGCTTCTAATTGCACTTCCTGTGTTCTTTTTCCACAAAACTTCAAACACCCACAGTCTCTTTGCAGCCCACCTGAACCATCCCTTTCATTTCTCCAAGACACCATTCATCAGGCTAAGTTTGTGAGTCAAACCATCACATCTCCTCTTGCTTCTGTCAGGAACCGGTCCACGCCGGCACGTTTACATCCACACACTTTACACATACAGCCAGTTTTATGGGCAGTTTGAAACACACCCTTGTGTCCTGAAATTAAAAAAAAGTTGTTAAGCTTACAGTCTTTGCACAAGTTACTTATAATGCACAACCACACATTTGCATGACTGTGAACGCCTCTCTAACATGTAGCCACTGTTGAGCCCATCTTATCTAAGTACACGTGGACACTGCAGCTGGCTTCCAGTCCACGCCAGAGCAGAAACACCAGAAGCCGAAGCTTCATCACCAGAGTGTTTCCTTTCACAGAGCCTGCTCGTATTTTACAGTCCTCTGTCATTTTCGGCGGTTTTGAGCTGCTACAGTAATTCCACATGCGTCAGCAGAGAAGGAATTCAGTGGGTGATTGTAAAACACAAGTGCTTGAACAAAAAAGTACTTTCTCTTATTGTGAATACTGGGTGATCTAATGTGTGACGCGCTCATTCATCCTTCCTTTCTGCCGTTTGGTTTTATTTTACAGGTGAAAAGAGAAAAAGTGTGTTTTGCAAAGACTGTAGCCAAAAAAGCTTGGTGATGTCATTTATTTATGCTTAAAAGAAAAATGAAAAAATTGGCAAAAACAGCGAGTCATAGTAAAGATCACAAACTTACCAAAACAAACCTCTATTTGCTTTTAGATTTCCACGCAAATAGAAACTGTGTTTATGACCCATCTGCCCGCATGAGCACTTTTAAGCACTGAAAGCCAGTAAAATATTCTTCCTGATGTGTGTTTGAGCATGTCTGTGCTGGCAGCTTCCTGCACTTCGTCACTCACAGCTCCTCTGGTTACAGCCTGGCCCCTCTGGGGAGCCTCTGGGGCCCGCTGGCTAAATTAGTTTCAGCAGCACCAGGAACCGAAGTTGGCGGCCCCTGTAACCTCTTGTTGGATTACAGAACTCTGACCCGTCTCTCCGTCAAGAGCCTTTGAAGTTTTCCATAGCTACTACAAATGAATAATCTACCTCCACCACCACCTCCACCCTTCAAAGGACCACTCTTGTCCTTTTTGGCTTTTTTTATTTAGATTTTTATTTTTTTGCTCTCATTTCTTTTTTTTCCATCTCTGTGTCTGGAGAGTGAGGTAACCCTCTCACTCCCCTACTTTGTCTGTTTCACTTGTCCTCCATGTTATGTCTCTGGACCTTGTTTCAGTAAACTCCATTCATCCTTTTCTTCTGTTGTCATGCTCATTAAACTTTTCATTGTGTAGTGTACAGGACATGCCTCTACCTCATCTCCTGCATCTATAATTGCATCATGGACGTTTACTTCCTTTTTGTTACAATTTGTTCCATCTTTCTCCCTCTCCCTTCCTCCATCTTTTGGACTTTATCCCCAGGGTTTCTTTTTTTTTTTTTTTTTTTTTGCATGCCTCACACATTCCTTTGTGCTTACTGGCTGTGTTTACATTGACGTCCTCTATTTGGTGCATGGACCACAGCGTTGAAAACCCAACAGCACGAAGCACACACACACACACACACACACACACACACACACACACACACACACACACACACACACACACACACATACACACACACACACACACACACACACAAGGTTTATCTCACACACCACAGAAGATTAATACAAGTAAAAGCTGTTAATGTAGTAAAAAGGAACAAACAGAAGCCCTTGCCAGCCATCAGGAGTGCGATGCTGCGTGTCTGAATGAGCGACCGCCCATTTGATTCTTTCCCTGCTAATTACACTTGCACATGGTCTCCAAAGGTGGACGTTTTTCATTGACGTGTCCGGACCACTGGGAAGCTGAAAGCTCAAATGCAACTCAAACACATTAAAAAGGGCCTGTATTTGATATAGCGCCTTCTAGAGCCCTGGAACCCCCCAAGGTGCTTTACAACACAATCAGTCATTCACCCGTTCACACACACATTCACACGTTGGTGGGGATGAGCTACATTGTAGCCACAGCTGCCCTGGGGCGCACTGACAGAGGCGAGGCTGCCGAGCACTGGCGCCACCGGTCCCTTCGACCGCCACCAGCAGGCAACGTGGGTTAAGAGTCTCGCCCAAGGACACAATGACAGCGACAAACTGTGCGGGGCTCGAACCTGCAACCTTCCGATTACGGGGCGAGCACTTAACTCCTGTGCCACTGTCGCCCACTACATTAGAGTACATTATGCCGGCAGAGGTTGCACAGTGAAGTCGAGAGCTGCCAAACAGTAATGGCACCCTTAATCACGTATACCGACTGATCTTTCAGCGTGGAAGCAGGGCAGGCACGGCCCGGATTCATTGATAAATAAATGCAGCCAAGTGGATCTTTTTTTTTAGCTCCAGCAGCAAGAGGACAGTATGCAGCCCATGAGAGCTTATTTCATTACAAAAGAGTCAGGGAGAAGAAACAACTTATCTGTCATAAGATCATCTGTTTTCCGTCGCTAAAACATCACCCGTGCACTACTTACCAACAGACATTCAGCACATTCAAATGTCACAGTGTATGGCTCCTATTGAGTAATGTAATGGTCATGTGACTACAATGTACTTGTGTGTAAAACCAGACGTAGAAGACAGAGTGAACCTGAGTGTCAGCCATGCCCTGCCCAGTCCCTTCCAGGTACTCTTATGCAAGATGCTCCCATTTCAACCACCTCCTCACCTAAAACAATCCTTAATAGGTTGTCAAAGCTCCCCATGACACCATAAGCCTCATTTCCTGTTCCTTTCAGATCCCGTATTTACCTGTCAGTCTGGCTTATTGCGTTTTATTAAACAATAAAAGATATTCAATAGAATGACACTCTTCCAAATTGGTTTATTACTAATCTGCTATTGTCATAATGTCGAGGATCTTGACTAAACCCAGTGTTAGTAGGTGGAACACTCCTCCTTAACTTACTGATTCAGTGTTTGTACATTCTGTGTCTTTGTGTTCGTCACACCAGGTCAAAGTTAATTGGCATGAAGATTATAAGGTATTGCAAATGGATAACAGCGTATCTGGAATGAGTCATTTTTTTTAACCTTACTGGCACACGCCTTTACTTCCAGTAAGAGAAGCTCGAGCTGTACGCCCGCCCCTTCGCCTTCCCCCTCTGCTTATAAAATGAAATTACATCGACGCCAGTGGCTCTGGAGCTGCCCAACAAGGAGTTAACACCTCAGATGGAGAGACCTGGTGGAGAGAGGAGTGGGAGGAGAAGGAAAAGGAGGGTGTGAAGTAGAAAAGGAGTGGCTGGCAGCAGGCGCAAAGGAGGTGAGCTCAGGGCTGTGGAATCAGGAACTGATCGTTGTTCTTTACACTGCTACTACGCCCCTGCACCGAAACGCCCACACCTCTGCCCACGCTCCATCCCCACACAACCTCGGCTCCACTCCAGTCCAGCTGGAATGCCGACTTTAAGCCCCCCACCCATTACTTTCATTGCAAAACGCAAAATATGGGAAGCTGCCTTTCAGTTAGAAGCAGTGTGTGGCCGGCACTCTGCTGTTTTTATCTAAAGCTGTGGATAAAAATCTCTAAAACAGAGACGTTTGTCTTGTGTGCTGTCTCCGGCTTTAGCAGAAGTACCACTGTCTCGACTAAAAATATCTTCCTGAGCAGCAGAAGGAAAGTCTGATTCCACATGAGGCTCTATTAAAATCCACAGCTTCAGCCGTGCAGACCTCAGTCTGATTCCAGTGTGGATCACTCTTGCCTCTAGTGCTGGAGTTTGTACCATCAGAGACAACTAAAAATATTCACACAGGCTCTGTCTTGGGGTAGATTTCAAGCAATTTGTGTAGAATTGTGTTCAGAGACAAAAATGCAAAAAAAAAGAAAAAAAAAAAAGAAAGAAATTACATTTCGGCTTTAGAGGAAGTGGCGAGTTTTTGGCTGTGACATGAAGTCAGTTTGCTGCAGCGCGTCTGACTCATACTGGAAGCATCCTCTATATGGTTAAAGAAAGAATGACAAATCATTTGTGTGTTATCTATCCAGGTATTAAATCAACCTCTCTCAGGAGTTATGTCGAGTTAACCTTCCGTCTGAGTTCAGACACTTCAGGCATGACTGGAGTGAAGTGCTCAGAAGTGTTATTGTGACTATCTGCTGTATGTTAGGTGGTAAAACCTCACAGACACTGAGTCACCCAACTGTAACACATCACTGGTTTTATCTTTGAAGTTGTTTTCCAACAGATTGGTCAAAGTTTTTTGGTATTTGTTCAAAAAAAAAAAAAGAAACAATGATCAAGATCAGTGACAGGTTCTGGGGAAAAGGGATTCATTCCTTAGAATGTGAGAGCGAGGGTTGGCCTTTTGCTTACCTGTGCAGCGTCAGCTCAGAAGGGGCAACAGGGACATTTGTCATGAAGCTTGGGAGTAAATAGTGAGGAAACAAACCACCATCTGTCTGAGCCTATTGATTTTCACATGAAAAGCAAATACATCCTTTCTGTTTGCGCTGCCTCCCAGTTGTTCTGTCTGCCCGTTGGGCGGGTGCAGAATTTAAGTTTACCTTTCAACATCATGTTCCTAGATAATCCTCATATATGACTGAGTCTCCAGCTCTGATGACTCTTTTTTTTTTTTTTTGCAGGGTGTCACCGGCGGAGGAGAGGAGCAAACACGAAGGGCTTGATCTCTGAAATCTCTGAGTCATCGTACAGAATGGGATCCAGAGAGCTGGTGTTGCCACAACGGCAGCTGGCTGCTGAGGTAGGCAGATAGTACATCTGCTTTTAAAACAGTGAACAACGCAGAGAGGCAGTGACTAGCACATAGCTGACTAAAGCACTGGGCCATGACATAGATGGTCAAGGATCTAGCATCTTACGCTCTGATCTCTGAAAATGCAAACACCTTCAGTCCTCCTGCCTATACGCACCTCAAAGAGAACCTGTCCGCTCTCATCTTTGATATGTCACAAAGGTGTGTTTGCAGGTAGGCGCCAGAAGAAAAGACAGGAAGTGTGAGATGCAGAGACTGATCCCGAGGAAAAGAGAGAGCTTTAATGTCTTGTGTCAGCACCGCCTGCCTCCTCTTATGAAATCTTTTCATGTTCCACCCACTGAGTTTCCAATCCTCCATTCTGCCCTTGAACAGACAGTAATTCAACCACCGAACCTAATCCCTAATGTAAAGGCCTGATCATTTCCTTTCACTGTCACCGTGTAAATGTTTATCATTAAATGGGTGATATTCACAGACTTGCCACTGAGGGCTGTAATGGCTTTATGAGCTCTGACTAAGATAACCTAACAAAGAGAACCTAGGTGCTCTCTCTGAGTATTATCCTCCCTATTTGGCTTTGATCATTTTGGCATTTTGCAGCAGACTCTTTAGATGTACAGCTGATGCAACCAAAATGTCATCCATCTTTTTTCTTTCCTTTTTTTTTTGTACAGCCGACAGAGAGAGGGCATTTTCACTTTGGGAGAGAGAGAATTTGAAACAGCTCTAACCTTTCTTCAACAATGCAGCCACTTTACGCTGTGGAATTCCTAAATCAGCGAGAGCCGTTCCGAGGCACCTGTTCTCGTCATTGCATCGGTCCTCTGAGAAAGTCTATAACTCAGGAGAAAAGGAACACCGCGAGGCATCAGCAACTTGTAGACAAGGAGGAGATTTCTAAAACAAACTGCTGGCATAACAGCTGTTACACACACACACACACACACACACACACACACACACACACACACACACACACACACACACACACACACAATCATTTATTACAAGCATCCGACTGTTGGACATCACCAAACTGTTATGTTACATCAAGGTGTGTGTAGGCCAAAGTGTGTGTGTCTATGTGTTAACTTTGTCTCTATGACGATGATGTCATGTTAGCTGTCCACCTGATCAATAGTGAAACGCCATGACCCATAGATCACCCCCCACATCCCCCATGGCTCCACCACAGCATGAACGAAGGAAATTCAAATCCTGGTCAGGTCATACCAAAGACCTTCACAATGGGACCCAATGCCTTCCTGCTTGACACTCAGCTGTAAGGGGTTGGATTGGGGGCTTAAACCACAAAATAGTTCCCGAGCGCAGCCATAGCTGCAGCTCATCGCTCCCCACAGGGGTGGGTCAAATGTGCAGATGAACTTCAACAGTGTGTGATGAATTAATGGGAACATGCTGTCTTTGTCCAATAGACTAATGAGGGGGCACACATTATTATTATTATTATCATTATTTGGGCTATTTATGAGAGTAATTAAAAACATCTTAACTGATTTTTTAACTTCTTTTATTCTCTCATTCTTATTTAAACACCCCCCCATCCTCCTCCATTTCTGCCTCTCATAGTTCCCAATCCCATCCCCTCCCTCTTTCCACATTCCTTGGTGAGTGGGTGGAAAGTTCAATGGGAATGTGGGCTCCCAGAAGGGCAGAGTGTGTTGGGGAAGAGGGGGGGGGGGGGGGGGGGGGGGGGTGTTGCATCAGACAAGAGAGCAGTATGTGTCTAAAAACTAGGGGATTCTTATCCGCTGATCCAATCCTCCTCCTCAGTTTCGCCCCAAGTCAGCAGCAGCCCACTTCTTCTGCGTTGGGTTGGCAGCAAAGGTAACTGCTTGGTGGTGGCCGAGAAGGGTGAGAGATCTGCCAAATGCTTTGGTGTATGCTTCACTTTGGAAGAACTAGTTGACACATTTAAGTTCGAGCTTATGTAAGCATCTGTTGGTTGTTTTACAGGAATGGCAATGGTGGCTCAACCTCACCACCTTTTGTTCCCCCAGTTCTAGACGAAGACAGGAGCTGACAACAGCCAATGAGAGAAGGACCTCTGCTGGTTTTGTCTAGATACTACAATCTTTGTTTAATTATTTCTGTAAAATCTGTGACTCTATTGAGAAGATTGTTATAATTATTATCTCTTATAAACTTATAAACTCTCTTCTTGCTTCTGCAATCCTAGATTGTGTACAGTGACTTACATCACAAGAATGAGAACATTTGGATCCCATTAACCCTCTGGAGGCAGGCGTTGCAGATTTGCAACAGTTAAAACCTGGTTACTCCACATACGTATTTCATAAGCATTTTTAACTCAGAAGTACCCCTGAAGGACTTAGTTGTTCGTCCTTTTATCAAAATTTATTTTGAACCTGAGAGGGTTAAATAGAGTGAGCCTCCTGCAGAGGAAAATCAACTATTTTTGTATTTGTAGCACTCCAGACTCACTTGCAGCACCGTTTACCCTCCATTTAGTCTTTGGTTGCTTGCAGAGCAACAAACAAACCGGTTTTAGAAGCAGCATTGGTCCGTGGGCCGTGAGTGTGGGAGACATGCAGGAAGTGGTGGGCGAACAGAAAACTGCATTTCCCCTTCCTGTCTATGTCCTCGCTCCCTGCCTGGCTGCCCTTTGGCTATTAATGCAACGCTAAGCTACCCACCACACACCCACATGGCCATTGGGAGCTGTTGTGCTCTAGAAATCTCAGATGCACATGGACACACACATACGTGCACACAACAACAAACGCTCACACAGACCCATCAGCAGATGCCAAGTGATATCGCTGTAAATAATTAGAAGATAAACAAGCGGGCGACATACTAAGTAGCAAAGAGTACGGAACAGTCTGTGCCCTAGTGGCAGGCTTCTTTTGCCAATGCATTAGTGCCTGCCTCTGTTTCAGTCCTTTGTAGACCTACACAACACCAGGGTGCAGAAGTAGGTGTCCATCACTCCGTCAGCATATCAATCACTGTCACAGAGAAGGATATGCACAGTATGCATGCACAGTTAAACAACACCAGCCGTATGCTAACAAAGTTTTTCATTCTTGAAGTGGCTGAAAACTGTTGTAACCCACACAGCGTACTGAAGCAGTTGTAGATCAAAATGACTGGTAATTTGTTTTTGCCATTCTCTACCTTTGTCCTGCAAATGGGTCAAAGGTAAGTTCAAAGTGGGCTGGGGCACATGCATTTTCAGCACCGACAGCTATTTTTATTCTGACTTTGTCCAGTTTATCGCTTCGATATGCGCTGACGGCCCGATCACCGGACACACGGCGGCATTTTGAAGCAGATGGCAGCTTGTTAAGCAACTTCCACAAACAATTAAGACAGATTTTTGCCTTATTTACTCTCTGACAACGCAGAAAAATGAATAAATCTGGTAAATATAACACACTCAACCTGGAGGCAAGTGGGGAAAATTTAAAAAATTTACAAATATATATTGACGAGGTTTTTGAGATTTTTGTCATGGGACCGAAGAAAGCAGCAGCAGCTGAGTCGGAAACACCTGGGACCAAGAGGAACCGTCCCCAGGACTCGCCCGAGGCCTCATCTCCCCATAAGGATGCCTTAGATTTACTACAGTCCATAGATAAACGGCTTCTGGGATTTGAGGGGCGACTCCACCTGCTAGAGGTGTTTCACAAGGAATTCCAGGACCTCCGAACATCTCTGGAGTTTAGCCAGGAGCAGGTGGAGCGGCTCGCGGCTGAGAACGCGTCTCTGCGGGAATCGGTTTCCTCCTTGACTGCAGGATTAGATCGGATCTCCAAGGACAACAAAGCTCTAAAGGAGACGGTTCTGGATCTCCAATCAAGCAGCATGAGAGATAACCTGGTGTTCGCAGGCCTTCCAGAGCAGACTGGAGGAGAAGCGGAGGATTGCGAACAAACCATCAAGAACTTTCTCCACACTCACATGAAGATACCTGAGGAAACGGTTAAAAACATCACCTTTCATCGGGTACATCGCCTTGGAGCCAGGAGAACAGACAGCAGAAGACCTCGTCCCATCGTGGCTAAATTTGAGCACTTTAAGCAGAAAGATCTTGTTAAAAGCCGCGGGAGAGAGCTTAAAGGTAAAGACTACAGCGTAAACGACCAGTTTCCCAAAGAAATTCGGGATCGCCGCCGAGTTCTCTATCCGCAGCGCAAGAAGTTCATCCAAGATGGGAAGCGGGCTGTGATCTCCGTGGATAAACTTTTTGTTGACGGTAAGATCTACAAAGAATGAGGAGTAACAGACTGGCTTTATTAGACAAACTTCAGGGTACAACTTTATTATTATGAAAAGCACTCACTGGTGTAGAGAAATAGAGTGATGTAACTATCTAGAGTTGTATTTTAATATACTGTAAGTAGATCACTTGTTATAATCAGAAGATGGGCTGTTTTTATCATCAGGGAGTTTAATTAAACACTCTGTATTGACTTTGAGACAAGAAAAGAGAGAGAGTTGGGATCGTTTAAGAATCTTTAATTTCTTAATTATAAATTCTTAACAATCTACCAGGACTAACTCTGTGTTGTTTGGAAATGAATGTGATGTTCGATGTGTGTGTGTGTGTGGTTGGTTCAGACTCCTTAGGCTGACGTCATTGAATCTGGTAGTCTGATTGTTATGACTAGATATCACGAGGCTTATAAAGTGATGACATGAGCTGCTATTTTGCCGTGTACGTACCCAGTGGGGGGCCTCCCAGGTAGATCAGGAAATGCCAGGTCCAAGAACCTCGGATGTGTACTGGAGCTGTCGGAGCAGCGGTCGCAGCACTTCAAAGTCCGTCTGAAGGGTCGACCCCGGTACCAATCGGCAGCGTCAGCAGGTGCTCTTATTTTGAAAGGATGTCATCTGGTTGTTAAACGACGAAAATCTCCAACTTCACAGTTCTTAGTTTAAAGAAGAAAATACATCTGGCCAGGCTGTGCTTCTCTTTGGGATGACGGTGAATAGAACTGAAGTCAAAATGGAACTGCTTAAAATGGCGTTGCATTGTTTTATATCTCTGAATTGTTGATAAGTTTTAGTAAAGCGGATTGGACACTTTAAGTCAACAAGCCAGATTCTCTTGCGGCAGCCGAAAGCTCTGCTTGGTTGGAACAATGTGTCATGCGTTTCTATGGAGATGAGGGTCAGTCTGTCTGTGCAGTAGTCCTGTTTTCAATAAACACATAAATCATGACATCTTTATTCCACAGATCATTCACTTGATTATTATTGATCAACATATGTTTCGAATAGCTTTAATCACAAATTAAGTACTTTGATTATTGAAAAGCGTTCTTCTTCTCCTTCTGGCTCTTCTCCTGGAATGTAAACAGTCTGAGGAACACCCGACCTTGGCGTTTTCTACACGGGTGTTACTGTGTATAGGGGCAGCTGTGTGGAGCTGAAAATTATGAAGTTCATAACGTTACACTGGGTTTGAACATGTCAGGATTTATAGCTGCTAGATCCGTTTAGAAATGTTCAGCTGTTCCCTCACCACCTCACACCCACAATGCTTTTTCTTTTATTTCTTCTTTTTTCCTCTTTTTAACCTTTATACTTCCTTTCTTTCCCTTTTTTTATCTGCTTCTGGGTCTTTACATCTGCATGGCACATTTTTTTCCACATTGCAGCACACAACTTGCGCACGCGCGCGCACACACACACACACACACACACACACACACACACACACACACACACACACACACACACACACACACAGACTCCATATGCAGTCACACGGATAAGTAGCCTAAGGCGTTTCATTGCACAATCGAAACACTGTTGGGCTTGTCTTGTTATTATTATTATTATTATTATCATTATTATTATTATTATTATTGTTTTTATCATTATTTATTTATACTTTATCATTATCAGCATTAATATTTTCATATTAATGTTGTAGGAAAATATTATTATTATTTTTCACTACTTTTATTGTTATTATATTTAATATTGCAAATGATAATATTGATTACAATAATACCCTTATTATTTACTCTCTATTATTTACTATAAGATTAATGTATGCGTTTAATTACTTATTCCATCGTATTCACATGAAGGCGTCATATTTTAGCTACTCACACACACATCTATGGGTGCACTAAGGTTTGTCTCATGGAACGTACATGGAGCTGGCTCTAGAGAGAGCAGATAAAAAAAATTTTGATCAGTTAAAAAGAGTGCAAGCAGACATAATATTATTACAAGAGACTCATAGATCTGCCACATCTGCAGATGAACTTAAAACACCTGAGTTTCCCAGCATGTTCTCTGCCTGCTATAACTCTAGGCAAAGGGGTGTAGCTATTTTAATACACAAAAACATAAATTTCACAGTATTGGACACAGTTTCTGATCCAGAGGGTAGATTTATAATGTTAAAAATATCTATACAAAACCAAAGCTTATTTATCGTCAGCATATACTGTCCAAATATTGATGACCCTCCATTCTTTCATAATTTTTTCTCTGTACTCTCCGAACACTTGGACTGTCCACTTATACTTGGAGGTGATTTAAATTTTTTGATGGACACTTTAACAGATAGGCTCAGTACAGCTGGGACTCAGCGCAATTGGCAATCCACTAACATAGTTAAACAGTACATGAGTGATTATGGGTTTTGTGATGCACGGCGATCTCTTCATCCCAACCGTAGAGAATATACTTTTTTCTGGATTATTTTCTAGTCAGCAGCTCATTGTTGGCTGACATTTCAGACACCGAGATACACCCCATAGCTGTCAGCGACCATGCTCCGGTTTCTTTAACTCTGGTAAACAAGAAGACAATCCCACCAAGCAAAAACTGGAGGTTTAATACATCACTGCCTAAAGACGAAGGTTTTATTGATTTTTTTTAAAAAGGGAGTGGGCTTTATATTTAGAACATAATGACCTGCCTGGAACATCAGCATCTATTCTCTGGGAGGCAGGAAAGGCAGTGATGAGAGGTAAAATAATCTCTTTCTCATCACATAAGAAAAAAAAAACAGAAAACAAACATATTCAGGAGTTAGAGGAAATCATTAAGTCTTTAGAGGCATCCACAGAAGAAGAGTTACTGAGCAAATTACGTAAAGCTAAATTAGAACTTCTTGGAATTATTGACAAAAAGACACAATTTTTAGCACAAAGACTATGAATAGAA